GTGGCTGTGATGATGGGCTGAAGTATAGCAGGGATCGTGGAGCTGGTGTGGGATCGGGCAGTGTTTCGTTCTGCTGTGAATGGGGTCGCTATGAGTTGGAAATGACTCTATGGCACTTAACAACAACAACAACAATCACCAGAAAAAAGAAAGCGAAAAAGAAAAAAGTAAAAAAAAGAGAAAAAAATCAGTGGAGGACAGGGCAGGGCACCCAGGCTCCGTCTGAGCCCACAGATTGTGATGGAGTTCCTGTGGGCCCAGATGGTAGATGGGAGTGGGGGATGGCTGTCCCTTCGTTCACCAAGCGGGTGTTGGGTATAAGAGTAACAAGAGGAATGTTCTACCTTTTCTGTCTTGCAGGTCCTTGGGGTTGGTAGAAAGCAGAATTTGTTCTTAAGCCCCAGGAATCTGCGAGAGTGCTGTCTCCTTAAATATCCAAAATAGCCAAGCCGCTTTTTAAACCTTCAAAATGGCAGCGCTATCCGGACCGGCAAAAGCCCACAGTTCAGCCCACCTTTCTCTTCACCTTCTCCATTTGTTCCTCAGCCACCGTGCACAGTCCTCCGTGCAGTCCCCGGCTAGCAGGGTGATTTTTAGGTTAATTCTTAGGTCCTACCACCACTCGGGAATCTCCAAGCAGTCTGTGCTGTTAGGATCGCTCAGGATCGCTGCCAGACCATGGCTCTGTCTGTCTGCTTTGTTGGTATTTTCATGGAAATTCTTTTGCTAGTTGGGGTTTAGTCCACTTCTGTATCCTTCCCTTCAAGGCTCAGGGGTTCAAGATTATCTTCTGTGTCTGTGTTCATTGGTTTCCCTTTTCTTTGTTTAAGAGGTTCTGTGCAGTCTTTCTGTCTAGTCCGCCATCTTCGTGGAACTCTGCCATGATGTTTTTATCAGTCCAGTTGTGAGCATTTTCATTTTCTTCTTGTTCAGGTTGAATTCATACTGAAGGCTGTAGTCTTTGAGTTTCATCAAAAAGTGCTTCAAGTCATCTTCACTTTGGCAAGCAAGGTTGTGTCATCCGCATAATGCAAGTCGTTAATGAGTCTTCCTTCAATCCTGACGCTTCAGTCTTCTTCATATAGCCCAGATTATCAGATTATTTGTTTAGTGTACAGTTTATATAAGTAGGGTGAAAGGACACAACTCTGATGCACACCTGTGCTCATTTTAACACACACAGTATCCCCTTTTTCTGTTTGAATGAATGCCTCTTGATTGGTATACAGGTTCTGCACAAGAACAATTAAATGCTCTAGAATTCCTGTTCTTCATAATGTTACCAATAATTTGTTATGATCTACAGTTGAATTTGCATAGTCAATAAAACAAGGGTAAACATATTTCTAATTTTCTTTGTTTTCAGCCACGATCTGTCTGAAATTAGCAATTACATTTTCCACATTGTCATCTGAATTTTACTTGAACTTTTGGCACTTCCCTGTTGATGTATTGCTGCAGGCTTGTTTTCAGTTATCTTCAGCAAAATTTTTCTAGCATGTGATGTTAATGATATTGTTTGGTAATTTCCATGTTATATTTGATCACCTTTTTTTGGAATAGAAAGAAATACGGTTCTCTCCCATTTGGTTGGCCGGGTAGCTGTTTTCCAAATTTCTTGATACAGATAAGTAAGCACTTCTAGTATTGTATCAGTTTGTTGCAGTATCTTTGTTGGTATGTTGTCAATTTCTATAGCCTTTTTAAAAAAAAAAAATAAATAAAAAAATAAAAAACAACCCAGTGTCTTCAGTAGTATCCATTGTGGGTACTTGATAAATATGGGTAGAAATGGAGGTGAGACAGTGAACAGTATGCTTTGAAACTGTAAGATGTTATATGAGTAATATGGTGTGAGTTATACATAGCATTGTATGATGGGTGAGACTTAACTTCTGGATTAGAATGACCTGAATTTAAACATATGTGATTTTGGGCCAGTTATTTCACTGGTGTTTAATAAGAATTATTTTTATATATAGATTTTTTATTTTATGAAAAGTAGATTACAAGCTTAGGACTGAAAGCACTTGTGTCCAGGAAGTGGTAAAAATGAGTAATAATATCTTCTTTATATAGATGAAGTGGTTGTCATGAATATTGCATGACATAATTGCAAGAAAAGTTTCTGGCACTTAGCAAGTGCACAGTAAATTTTATCTGTTTTTGTTTTCTGTATTTGTGGTTTTGGTTGGTTTTTTGAACCAAGCATGCTATTATTACATTTGCTGACTGAAGTTAAATAAAGTTGTCCTTCCCAGGAGATGTTTTCTTCTACCCTAGTGGCATCGGTGTGATGTGGTATCCATTGTAAATTGTATTTGCTTGAAGACAAATGGAAGCGTTACGTAAATAACCACTTATTGATCATTTGGTTTTTCTTCTTATGCTAGGTCTCTGGTTAGGAGTAGAATGGGACAACCCTGAGAGAGGAAAGCATGATGGGAGCCATGAAGGGACTGTGTATTTTGAATGCAGGTAATTTTTCATTATGAATTGTCATGGTCATTTAGTCAAAATAAATTTAGTTGTTGAATAAAAGGGGATGGAGATATGCATGAGTATTTACATACTGAAATATATAATATTTTCTTAAAAAAAGTTTCATTTCATTGATGTAATGGGCATTGTATTGACTTATGAAATTATATGTGTAGGTGATGTTGTCTGTCAGTTCCATTTTGAGATATTTATAGGCAAAGCTGCTGCAAAAGACCTCTTTAAAATATTAAAAAGCAAAGCTGTCACTTTGAGGCCTAAGGTGATTCTGATCCAAGTATGATTATGTTTAGTTGCCTCATATGCATGGGAAACCTGGACATTAAATAACAAAGACTGAGAAACAATTGAAGCCTTTGGATTATGATATTGTCAAAGAATATTGAATATACTGTGGACTGCCAGAAGAACAAAAAAAGTCTGTTACAAAAAGCCAAAATGCTCTTTAGAAGCAAGGATCGTGAGATTTTGTCTCACGTGCTTTGGACATGTTTTAAGGAGAGACCAGTCCCTGGAGAATGATATCATAATTGGCAAAGTAGGGAGTCAGTGAAAAAGAGGAAGACCCTTGATGAGATGGATTGCCACAGTGGCTGCAATAATGCATTCAAACATAGGAACAAATGAGGATACTGCAGTGTTTCATTCTATTATATGTAGGGTCATTAAGAGTTGGAGCCAACTTGATGGCATCTGACAATAACAGCATCAACATAGGGCAATACAAGGGAAGCTTTGGACCTTATGCAATGGAGGGCCCCTACTGTTCTAGACAAAAGGAATTTAAATGGTCCTTTCTAGTGTTAATCCTTATATTTTTATTAATTAGAACATGACTTCAATTAGTAAAGATTATACCAGTATTTTAGAATTTTTAATCAGACAAACATCACATGCATTTGCTGTTAACCTCATTCAGATATCTTAATAATATGTAATATAGATTTCTTTGTTGTTGTTGTTAGGTGCTGCCTAGTTGATTCCAACTCATAGCAACTCCATGTACAACAGAATGACACACTGCCAGTTCTGTGCCATCCTCAAAATCCTTGCTATGCTTGAGCCCATTGTTGGAGCCATTTTGTCAGTCCCTCTCATTGAGGGTCTTTCCCTTCTGCTCTAACCCTTCCCTTTACCAAGCATGATATCTTTATCCAAGGAATGGGCCCTTCTGACAATATGACCAAAGAAGGTGAGACAAAGTCTGGCCATGCTTGCTTCTAAGGAGCATTCTGGCTGCGCTTCTTCCAGGACAGACTGTTTGTTCTTCTGTAGTACGTGGTATTTTTAGTATTTTTCACCAACACCACAGTTCAGGGGCATCAGTTACTCTTTGATCTTTCTATTCGTTTTCCAGCTTTCATGTGCACATGAGGCGATTAAAAATACCCTAACCAAAAAAAAAAAAAAAAAACCCCACCAAACTCGCTGCCATTGAGTCAGATCCGACTCATAGCGACCCCTTCTTGGGTTTCCAAGGCAGTATCACTACAGAAGTAGATTGCCCAACCTTCTTTCCGAGGAGTGGCTGGTGGGTTTGAACCACCAGCCTTCTGGTTAGCAGTCAGATGCCTTAGGTACTGTGCCACATATTACTTTGGTTTTATGGAATTCATTGGGGTGTTCTGATATTTTGAAATCCACTACTGAGTTACTTGAGAAATCACAATAACAAGATAATATCAGTCTAGAAAAGTATTTTACCACAGTAAACAATATCTTCTTCTTCAGATGCTATTTGTTTTGATTACCTAGTGCCACTCTGACAGGAATATACCACAAATGGGTGGGCTTTAACAAACAGGAGTATATTCGCTTACAGTTAGGGAGGCAAGAAGTCCGAGTTCAAAGTGCCATGCCCTAGGGGCTGGGTAAAAGCCCCTCAGCCTTGGGTTTCAGCTCTGCCTCTTGCTCCTGGCCCACTAAAGCTGGAAGCTTCTCTTCTCTGAGACAGCTGCTGGCTGCTAAGGCTGACAAACCCAAAGTTGACGAGTACAAAGGCACAGTCCCAATGTTACCAAACAACATGGCAGGCCATTGATTCAAGTTCATTGAATGTCCCATGATCGGCAGAGCATGGCAGGCTGCTGAACGATGACTTGGCTCCATGCAGGGTTAAAGCATGCCATAAGCTGGAGACCATTCCCAGAGGTGCTTCTTATATACAGGAAGCAGACCACATTCCTAAAGCAGCTACTCAGCTGCTTGTGGTAGATCCCACCATGGAGTAATTGCTATTCTCATCATGGAGAATAACTACCACCAGCTGCCCAGCCACATTGACGTACAACCTTAACTACCACATTATTTTAATGAAGCTGAAACAGTTTATAGTTAGATTATAAATCTTGTAATATGTTTGTGAAATTAGTATGTGGCAAAATGACGGTGTCCTTGTTATAAATAAGCAAATTTTGAGTTAAAAGTTGTGATATTACTGCAGAACTCAGACTAAAATTTCTATATCTTCATCCTTGTCTTTTCAGAAGTATGTCTTGATATTCATATATATGTCAAGTATACAATAACATAATTATGCCTTTGATACAAGTACTATAAAAATTACTTTGGACTTCTTCCTCCTCTTTCTTTTTTTGTGCATTTTAAGCAAAGGATAGCAGGATATATTGAATGAGATGTTTGGTGTGCACAGCTTCTTGAATCTCCATAATGTCTCAGATTGGCATAGATGATATTCTGTTGTCCAGGGTTAGGGCCTGCCTCTCTAGGTCATAACTGTAGAATAGACATTGCAGTTTTCAAGGCCCCGCCCATGGGATACATTCTTCCCCAGTGTATTTTTTTCCCACGTAATTCAGCTCATGTTGATCTCATGAAACTTTAGTTCAGAATAGAATAAGATTTGCAAGAGTCTAGCCTCTGCTTTAGGAAACCTGGTGGATCAGTGGTTACAGCACTCAGGTTTTAACTGAAAGGTTGGCAGTTTGCATCCACCAGCCACCACAGGAGAAAGACGTGGCAGTCTGCTTCTGTAAATATTATGGCCTTGGAAAACTAAAGGCAGTTCCACTCTGTCCTGTAGGGTGATTATGAGTTAGGATCAACTCAGGAGCACACAAGAACAATAACAGCTACTGCTTTAAAAATTATCTTAAAATAGAATATGGTGTGGCTAGCCCTGGAAGCAATGGAAGGTGGGGTTTGTATGCATGGAGGCAGGCCGTGGTAAGCCATCCCCAGGAGCAGCAGAAGGTGGGAGTTTGCATGGAGGTAGACCACAATAAGCCATCCCCGGGAGCAGCGGAAGGTGTGATTTTGTGTGCATGGAAGCATGCTGTGGTAAGCCAGCCCCAGGAGAAGTAGAAGATGGGAGTTTGTGTGTGTGGAGGCAGACTACAGTAAGCCAGCCCCTGGACCAGCGAAAGGCAGGTGTTTGTGAGCGTCGAGACAGGCCGCGGTCAGCCAGCCTGGGACCAGCAGAAGGAGGGTGTTTGCGCCCTAGGGACAGGCTGGGTAAGTGAGCAGGGCAGGTGAGACCAGGAAACGAGCAGAGCAGTTTGGAACAGCTAAGGGAGACAAACTTGTCCGTCAGTGTGTTGTACTATGGTGACTTGAGTGTTGCTGTGAGGCTAGAGGCTATGCCACTGGTGTTTCATATGCCAGCAGGGTTACCCATGGTGGACAGATTTCAGAGGAGCTTCCAGATTAAGACAGACTTGGAAGAAGAAAGAGGCCATCTATTTCTCAAAGAATTGGCCATTGAAAACCTTATGAATAGCAGTGAAACACTGTCTGATACATTACTGCAAAACTTTATGAATAGTCCTGAAACATTGTGAGGTATAGTCCCAGATGATGAGCCCCTCAGGTTGGAAGGCACTCAAAATACGACTGGAAGAGTGCTGCCTCCTTAGAGTAGAGCCAATCTTAATGATGTGGATAGAGTAAAGCTGTCGGAACCTCCATTGGCTCGTCTCAAGATGAGAAGAAAAGCTGCAAACATCCATTAATAATTGGAACATGAACTGTACTAAGTATGAATCCAGGAAAATGGAAGTTGTCAAAAAATGAAATGGAATTCATAAAGATCAATATGCTAGGCATCAGTGAGCTGAAATGGACTGATTTTGACCATTTTGAATCAGATGATCATATACATCTACTAGGCTGGGAATAACAAATTGAAGAAGAATGGTGTGGCATTCATCATCACAAAGAATGTTTCAAAATCCATCCTGAAATACAATGCTGTCAGTGATAGGATAATATCCATATGCCTATGAGGAAGACCAGGAGCTCTGGTAGCATAGTGCCTAAGGCACTTGACTGCTAACCAGAAGGCTGGCGGTTCAAACCCACCAGCCACTCCTCGGAAGGAAGGTTGGGCAAT